ATTTGAATTTTCTCTTTTTTCCTTAGTGAGTATAGCCTTACCGATAAAATTTTATTTATCTTTTCAAAGAATCAACTCTTGGTTTCATTGATATTTTGTGTTTTCCTTTTGTTTCTTACATTGCTTATTTTCTTCTGCCTAGTGAATTTTAGGTTTTATTTGCTCTTCTTTCTCTAGTTGCTTCAGATGTAAAGTTGGAATATTTATTTGGATTTTCATGTTAATTGATGTTGGCCTATATGCTATGTAGTTTTCTCTTAATACTGCTTCTAGTCCATCCCAAAGGATCTGGTATCTTGTTTCTTCATTTTCATTGGTACTCATCCAGATTATTCTATTTCTCCTTTGATCTTATTGACTCAGGAGTTATTCAAAAGTATGTTTCTTAGCTTCAAAAATGTCTGAAGTTTTTTTCCCAGGTTCCTTTCGTGGTGGTTCTTAATGTGTAATACCACTGTGATCAGAAAAGATGCCTAATAAAATTTCAATTTAGATATATATTTGATTCAAGTTTTGCAATATAGCATATGATCTGAGAAAGCTCCATGTTCCAAGTTCCAAGTTACTTGAAAAGAATGTGTGTATTCATTTCTTTTGAATTGGAAAGCTCGGTCTATGTCTATCAAGTCGTTCTTATCCATAGCTGCATTTTAGGCCATTATTTTCTTGTTTACTTCTGCTTGGATGATGTATCATGTAAATGGTATGTTGAGGTCTCCTACTATCATTGTGTTGCTTTAATTCTATTAGTAGTTGTTTTGTATATTTGGCTGCAACTATGTTAGGTATGTAAATATGGCCAACAGTTATATCTTCCTGATGAATTATCCCATTGATCATTATACAGTGACTGTCTATGTCACTAATTATATATTTTGACTGAAAGTCTAATTTGTCATCTATGAGAATTGCAGTCCCTGCATTTTTCTGTTATTGGCTTAAAATCCCTTGCTTCAGTTTCTATGCTTGTCTTTAAAGTGAATTTCTAGTATGCCTAATACACATGGATCAAGCTTTGTCATTTACCATTCACCCCGTGTCTTTTAATTGGTGAGTTTACTATTAATTTTTAAGGGGGTTATTGATATATATGAAGTTTATTAACTGACATTCACTCATTTTTGGGTTTTTTATCTTTCTGTATTTCTCTTTTCCTATGTACTCTGTCTGCTTTTCATTTGGATGCTCTTCCTGGTGAGTTTCCTGTTTCCTTATTTTTCTTAGTCCTCTCTCTTTCATCAGTTTTTGGTTGCCATTAGGGTTGTATCAAACTTTCTATATTTAAAATAGTCTTTGTGCTGGTATGTGCTCATAGTCATTTGACTATGAAGATTGTGTACTTTGCTTCCTTCCTTTTAATGATTTGTGTATATGTTTTTCTTATTTTGATTCTGATTCTGCTTTACTCTTTGTCAATTTGCTCAATTTTGGTGTACTTTCCCTTTTTCTTTTTATGTAGAACCACTTTCAACATTTCTTATAGGACAACTCTGTTAGTAGTAAAATTCTGTTATTCCTCCCCTCCCTTCTCCTTGCCCTTCTCTCTCTCTCTGTCTCCTTCACTGTCTTTAGTGAGAACACTTTTTCATTCTAGATCTTTTCCTAAGATCTGTACCTCCTTTCTGTTTTGATTGAACTACTAGGACCTCATTTCACTTCTTTAAATTTGTTATTCTGCAGCACTCCCACGCCCACCTGTGACTATGCAGGTGCCTCTTCACCACCTCTCTCCCTCAGCAGGGCAGCAGCCTTCCTGCCTGCCCGTGACCTGTCAAGGCTGCCCCCTGCAACCATGCAGGCCTCTTTTAGCAAACCTGTCCCTTCTTGGGCAGCTCTTCCCGCCTGCTTGTGTCTACACAAGT